TACATATTAAAATATTGCCGATTGATTTACCAACCCATCAGAATAACAATATAAAAATGTGAACGATACAATTACTGTACATTTAAGGTACACTTTAAATAGCAACATTTTTATATATTGATATAAATCCCGCCATACTATAGAACAAGATATGCTTGATTAGATGCTTGTTCTTGGTGGCATATCATTTGTCGGGCTTTCGTCAATACAAATGAGCAGTTCTAGCAAGACGTCTTGTAAACTCAAAGAAATACACGTGAGCTATTTTCTCTTCGGGGAGCCATCTTCGGGTCCCATACTCCCCACTACCTCCATAAAAATTGATCGATGAAAATAGTTAATTGCGTGGAGATTCCGAACGTTATACTACTATTGCCTTTTTAAGGCGCGTTGTGCATTACATTTTAACAAAAAACATCAACTCTTTGGGTGCAGGACACGTAATGCAACAATTATTGATTGAAAACGCCGTCTGATGGCGCCCCCTGGTGTCTAATCCAAGGCGCAGAAAAAGGGGCGTGTTAGAATCTTTGATGAGATTTTTAATGGGAAAATGAACCGCCCACGAGTGTACTTTTTTTTATGATGTTTGGAGCTTGTAGATTGAGTTATCACCATTCATGCTTGTTTTTGGCTCCTTTCTTCCGCGTTATAATTTATTAGCAATAAAACAGCCTTTCAGTACGAACGAACTGGAATGTAGAAAGGAAGCTCAACGTTCCTATTTGCTCCACTTTTTTTATCGTGTTAAGCCTGCTACACTCTTTCTTGATTTTTGTTTTTTTTTAGATATAAAACAAATGCACATATAAAGCATCAAATCAAAGACAAGCACAAGCTGCATGTGAAATATACATATATATATACAGAGAGAGAGAGAGAGAGAGAGACATTTTGGGAATTATTTGTGATGGAACGGTTTGATTTAAATCATCAAGGCAAAACATGGTGTGATAAAAATCACGATTTCAATCGGCTTGATTTTTATTCACCACCCTACCTTAAACTTTGCCGTGAGCAAAGAGGGCGGAATCGAAGAGACAAACCGTGTCCATCTGTTTTCAGCGTTGGAGACACAACGATCATCAGCAACTGCATGCAGCACTCCTCGATGTCACGGAATGCATGTGTGAAATGTAATCGAAGCCTAACTTGCCTAGCTTTCCCGAGTAATAGTAAGTTGTAACTGTAATTAGGTACATTCGTATTAATGTGACCGTATTTGTTGCCTAGTTACACTTCTACTCAAGTAACTGTAACAGTATAGTAAGTTACTTTTAAAGAGTAACCTTTCTCATCAGTGTCATCTCTGAATCATCTTTCGCTATACTCTATCATTTCGATTCCGCCCCTTGTTCTCAGAAATGGCTCACTGACCGCACTGCTTAGGTAATTTGTGACTTTTAAAATTTGTATACAGATAATTGGGGGTTTTAGAGCAAGCGGGTAATTTGTGGGTTTTTAGAATCCGTAAAGCAGGTGCAGATCCAATGGCGGCGCAGTTATACATGCACTTGCGTTTCCTTTCGTATATGGAGATCGACAAGGTCAATACGTAATTGCTCAATTTCAGCGACAAACCCAAATGTAGTGTATATATATATATATATATATATATATCCACTTTAGTAGTTTATGGGGGAAGTGCTGAACAGGGGAATCCCCAGTTGTATACTTCCAAACTAACCTGCACTTATATATGGCTACATACTTTCCACATCTTCATTTCTGTTGCACGTTGCACACTGTCTATACTTCTGAAGTATAGGGTGCTGCTGCATGGAGCATTCTTCATTTGTTGATAATTTTAAAAAAAGTTTGTGGAAAAATATGCTCCCGTGCAGTGCGGCGAAGAGAACCCTTCAGACAGTTTCAGCGGACTTTGTCTCTACCAATGCCTTTTTACTAAGAAATACATGTGTTTCCAACTTGGACGAATTATGTTGTATTGGAATAGTTGAGGCGGTCACCGGGCGAAGTAAGTAGCCATGAATCACCAATTTTGGCTATTTTCTAGTGGCCTGGCCCCAGGAATAAAAAAAAAAAATCCTAACGCAAGTTATTTATTTATTTGTTTTTTTTTAAATTCTGGTCCGATTAGAAAAAGTAAAAACAGCATGTATAAGGCGCTGGAGTGATCAACGGGGCAGGGATAGCGGTCTCGTGCGTGCTGTTTCGCGGCGTCAGTGTTCGTTTCTATGTTATCTGAGAACATTATGCGATGTGTGTTGCATGTATATACTCTCTCTCTCATAGGGAATGTGTCCAAGGGTCTCAAAGAGGACGTCGCAAGGATCACCAGCACCATTTGTGGTGTTCACCCTCGAGGCGCTGCTGGGACGCCCTTGGGGTGTTAGCCCTGGTGCAAATGAATCGTCCCTCACCCTTGACGGTGTAAAATGTTTTAATGTGTGACAACGATGTATTGCGGCGAAGGCGCAGTAGAACTAAAATGATAGTTACGTGATAAATATCGGCAGGTGGTCTAAATCCATAGTCCTTCGCTGAGGCGTGCCAGGGGTCCTTCATTTCGTATATAATATTGGTAGGAATTGAAAAAGAAGTGTGCAAAGTCCCGAATAAAAAGTTCCTTCGGCATCGGGGGGCGCCAGTATAGTGCATCTCTTTTCTCACGAAAGTTCGTATGTCGTCGAGACTATGCTATGACAAAAGTATTTTTCTATATTTTCGCGGGGAAGTCCAGGACACACCGACAAACACGGGAAGCACGTGCTGGATCTGCAAACATAAATGCAGCATTGGAGGCTTCGTTACCACTTACATAAGCTAACCAAATATTACGGTTTTATTGCACAAGTATGTTTTTCTTTTTAGTTTAAGCCAAAGCGAATGGGGAACATGCCGAACAAAGGCCGTGGAAGCTGAAATTTGTGTTCTTTTGCCCACATTTGGAAAACGCCGTAAGTAATCCTGAAAATATCGCCATGCCAAACTTTCCTTTCTGCGAAGTTATTCGACTAATAAATCAAGATATTCGTGCCCCAAATATAGCGTCCCAGATTTCTGTTTTGCGACTTGCAACTGAATCGAACCATTGCTGGTGCTCGACTAAGTTAGTTCACGCGTAAAAGACGTATAATGACCCACTGGAGACGTTTCCTTCAGAAATCGCGTTATTCTCTTTGCCAAGACAAGTCATCCCTCAGCGAGGAACGCGTTCAGATACAAATAGAACAATCTTACTTTGCTTCGCAAATGATGTTCGTCTCAATTGCACTGCTCTCCTCGGAGAAAAAAAGCACGCCACGGCCACGGCTACCAGGGTTCCCTAGCATTCTCAAGATGAGCGCCAGGCCTTCCCTAGGGAATCGATAAAGTGTCCCTGTCGGATTTGCTGGTGTATTCCGGGTTCAGGATGTCCCTGGATCGCGTCGTTGCTCGAGAGGGGGTCGGGCACATGTGATAGTACTCAAACAGGCACGAGTTGTTCGGAGATGGACGGGACGATTTCTAATGAAGTATTGTAAGAAGCAAAGTGTGTAGGCGAGCTGGTTAGGAAACGCTATAATCTAAATCCTCACACACGGTGAAATAACATGTTTATTTCTTCGTGTCTGGGCGTTCAGATTATCAGGTTAGTGAAACTTGCACAATCGTTTAATTTTTTTTCTTCTTTTTAGCGCAGCGTTACAAGCTACATATGTGGATAAAGCATCCCAATCCTTGAGACAAGGAAAAAATAAAATAAAGGACATCACGATACAAATTTTTCCGCGGTGCCGCGTGCAATTTTATTTTCCCTTTTCTCGAGGTTTAACCTAACCAGCTCGCCGATGTACTTTTGCTTCTTGGATGAAGTATTGGTCATGGCAAAACACGTGAATGAGAAAAACAAATTTCGAGCATTTCGAGCCGTCGCCATCCCAAGCGATTCGTTTTTGGGACGTTAACAAAATAAATCACGCCATGTCTAAGACGATGTTGGTTCGCGAATAGCGCGCTTTGCACCAGTGCGTTTGAAAGGATGAAGGGGGGAAAGAGAAATAAAAGTTACGCGCTTTAGTGCGCGAGTAAGTAGGGTGGTCTCGTTCGCGCACCAGCGAAAGGAGCAGAAGGGCGAGCTGTGGATCTAACAGATGATCCTCGCCTTTTCTTTTTTCTATTTCGGGAGGAGCGGGGGGCTCCCACCGACCTCAAATCAATGACGTCAGCATCACCCCACAAAGGACCAGGGGTGCACAAAGGCGTCGTGTGCGTCTCACGGCTGAAACCGGCGCGCTATATTTGCCCGAGTCGCGACACATCCATACACGGGGATAAACAGCGTCAGCGTGACGGGAGATTTCCACGGAGGATCCGGCGAAACCCCAGGACAGGGGCTCGAGCTAACTCCAGCCCGGCTGCGGGACAAGAGAGGTCCCGGAGAAGGAAAAGAAAAAAGAAAAAGGAGGGACAGCCCTGTGTGAGACGACACTCCCCAAACAAACGTAGCTACAGATGCATAGACCCTCTCGGTGGTTGGTGCCACACCGTGTTTAACCGACGAAAAGAGAGGGAAAACATTTTTTTTTCTTCTTCTTCTTCTTCTTCAACCGTGAGGAGGAGGACAGCCAGGATCGGTTTTTGACAACTGGGTACCGATGTTGGCGCGGCTTGTCGACAGCCATGCTAATTTGTCTCCCTCGCCCGTCGGTCGCCCTCCCCACGGGGCCAAGCCGCCATGGGCCGGCCCCCCTCGTCTGATTATCGCTTTTTTCCCCCCCGCGTCTACGGTTAATAGTTAGGGGGGGTGCCCCCCCTCGGGCGTCCAGCGCCCGCGAGGCGGTCGTGGCGAAGGCCGGGTGGCGGCATGCATGGCAGCGGTGCTCGAGGGGGGAGTTGTGGGGGTCCCCCCCGAGAACGGCAGCAGGCGTTGGAGGGAGGGAGCAGAAAGGCGGAGTTGGCAACCTCACGCCGGAAGCCTCGAGGCGGAGTCTGGAGCGAGGGAGGCGAGACCTCCGGCGCGTCCTCCCGCGTCCCCCGGCGCGCCGAGCGGCGCTGCCATTGGGCGCCAGGTTGCGCCGCGCTCGCCGCCCCGCGGTCTCCGGCGGAACTGCCCAGCTTCGGGGCGTCCGGGGGAGAGGGCAGCGCCGACGGTCCGGGGCGGCCGACCGGGCACTTCAGAGAGCAGCCTGCCAAACTGCGCGCCGAGTGTAGTACTTGGACGGCGAATACCCGCGTGTGTGTGTGCGTCGTCGTGTTCTCTGTTGTGGACGCCGCCGCGCGTGTTCCCCGCCGCCGGCCGCGCAGTCGGACTCGAGCCGCCGACGACGACGACCGCCGCCGCCGCCGCCGTGGCATCGTCGCCGTGTCACGCCACCGTCGTCGACTGCCCCAGCGTCAAGCGAGTGCCGTCGCAGCCGGCGCGCCCACGCGTGTGCAGCCATGGCCCGCATTGGATTGTCGCGTCTCTGAGCTGTGACGACGCGCGACGTGCCCTCCTCGGATAGGGGGGACGCGACGCCGCAGCACCCGACGTCCCCAGAACCTCAGGTACGAACGCCCGAAAACCAGCCTCGCCGAGCTCGGCGCGAGCAACAACCCGCCGGTTGGTTCCCCACGTCTGTCAGTATACGACGCGTGTGTCTTTTTTTTTCTCGTTGACACGCGGTCGGTCACCGTTGTGCACGCCTTTTGTTTCGAGAGCTCCTCCGCGCCAAAGGGTACGCTTGCACGCTGCTATTTAGTACTCGAAAATAGCAGTGAGCATGCCCCTCTTTACGCGGTTTACGTATCCACGCGGTGTCGTTGATTGATGCGCGACGGCCATGTGTTCGGTCGGATCGCGACTGTGTCCTCGAGCGTGACGCTCCATTTTACGAGCGTTGACAAGGATCGTTTTACAACGGCGGCGATGCTACGGGAACCTTGACACTGTTAGTGTATTGGCAGTGCTGCTGCTGTGCCTGTCGTTTGTCATCCTCTCGGAACCTTGCATTGCGGCCATTCGCCTCCGGCCACGTCGGTGACAGTTAATCGGTCAAAAGCGTTCCTCTCCTGTTCATAAAACATCGTTTTGCCTGCGTTTCAGTGTTGACATCACACCGCTCTTCACATCTCCTTCTTGGCGGAGCTATGTGCGCCCACTTTCTCGTCGATGCCCGTCATTGAGGTCTTGTTGGCTTTCGAAATTTCACGATAAGCTCTACTTTCAGGTTAATCGCGAGACAGTTGATTGGCTAGAAGTGTGTTACGGTCATTCCCACGGTACTACCTAGGCATTTTGTTTTAGAGTAAGCGAGCCTGGGGGCCATGGGAGTTAGTACCGATGTTCCCTAGTTCCCTAGCACGAGGCATAGGGATAAAAAAAATGAAACCAACGTTGCCTTTGAATCTATTTAAACACGTCCCTACAGTTGTTGCAACAGATTATATACGACAAATTTGTCCTCCAACTTCGTTCATTTTATTTTTTTCATATTTATTTTTATTTCGTCACGTTTATTTATTATCTCTTTTTTCTTCTTTTTGGTTTAGGCGCCTCACACATGCTGAGCGATGCAGCTGGGTGTAGACGCAGGAAAGACTTCTGAATAGCGAGGGCCTTTTATTTCCTCTTTTTTTTTTTTTTAAGTTAACCGCGAAATGAACAAACCTGCTGTGCTAAAAAAAAAAGACAAAAAGAAATGGTTGGTACGAAGCGGTTTTTTGAAAGCGCCAATCTCACGCACGTAGTATTGTTTTAAGGTTTTGAGGTAGGACCGATCGTGTTCTCAGCTCACTATTTCATCGTAAATTACGAATTCCGTTCGCTTAAAAGAAAGTGTCTCTTCTATTGGTGAAACAAAGATTCTTGCAGGTGTGTGAACGAGGTGATTTACTGCTTTATCCCACGTGTGAGATCACATTATACTCTGAATCATATGGGGTAGCCCATACGTTCCCCTCAGTGAATCCTCTGACCAACAACCCTTCATTTAATTATAGATCCTTCATTCGTTCGACTTCCTTTTCTTTTTATCTCTTTCGCTAGTTTTCTTAATAAACCGGCTTTTACAAAGTCCTGAATACGCTTTATATATATATATATATATATATATATATATAGTTTTCATGTCCAATTTGTGTCACTTTAACTTGATATCTTCACGTGAAGAGCGGCTAATTGTATGGGGTGCTGTAGACAACGATAGGGATAAAATGGAGCTGCCAGGGAAATTTCGTAGGCCCGACAAAACGCTATATTATTACGGTACAATCAGAAGACGGGTTGCTTGTCACGCGCTTCGGTCAGCCCTCGCTATTCAAACAGCCAGCCACCTTCCGTCTTACAAGTCCATTTCGACTGCTGTAAATCAATCACGATAGCATGTGTCCCACATACGAACGAATCCTCGATTATTTCCACTAGCGAAAAGTCGCCACATATATCGATTACGAAAGGGCGCAAACAACCACCGAAGAAATGGAAGAAGGAAAAAAAAATTAAACATAAGTAGAAACAATCGCAAGAAGTGGGTTACCGATAAAGTGCGAACTTACAAAAAGTGGGTCAACTCACGCAAGTTTAATTAGCAAGCATAACCACTACGAAGAACTATGTTCGTTGCACGAAAAACTTCTCGCATCGGCAACGCGACAAATATTAGTTTACATTTGTATTCTGTTTTACTTCAGCGCATATCATCGACTTGCCGTGGTCGTATAGGCAACAATTACATATCCGCCTTGATAGAAATATTTATTCCACTCATATTAATTTAGGCCGTAGTTTCGAAATGCGAACCACTCTGTAATAACCGAAAGCCGTTGGATTGCCTGTTCAAATCGCTTATTCAAAAAATTTGGGAAATACGGCACGCGGGGAGAAAAAGGTCATGTCATGCGGGATAGTTTTCTCTTATTTAAAACCCATTTTCCACCTAGATATATCAAACACAACGTAGCGACCAGATTTATATTTCGTGAGCATCGCAAGAAGGGCGTCAACAGGGACGCACGCATTCCCATTCGAGTCGTGTAGAAAAATAACTGTAAGAAGCTTCCAAGTCGTGCAGCTTTTTGCACCCGCCCGTGGCATCAAATCAGTGACACCGTCAAGAGAGTAAGGCCTGGATTTCCACAAGCAAGAACTCTGGTAAAATGGGTAATGTCATGTCCCATCATGGGTATTCATTTGAATTTGACGCGAAGACGTATTACCTATATAACCTGGTGTTCGAGATTGTCGGTCATGTTAGGGATAATTGGCGAAGCTCAGACCTCATTTGATTTCATCTTGACGAAGCCTCATCCATTTTTTGTTCCATGTATCCGGTTGAGAGAAAGTTTTCGGTGTCAATCCTTTTCTGTAAAAAAAAAAAAGAAAAAAAAAAAGAAAGAAAAGGATCACATTAATTACGCTTTATTCGCCACGCGGGAAAAATCACCAATTCCCAATTATAAACACCTGAGAGTGCGGAACACATCGATTAAGGGGATCGTGTGTTTGTGTGTTTGTCCCTTTTTTTTCTTTATTTCCAGTCTCGGGTTTTTATAATTACGATTAGTCACCCGGCTACCTTTCATTAATTTTTTTTTAAGCATCATCAGAGTCAGGAAACTCCGTCGGAGATTAGAGGGTGCATCCGTTTAAATGTTTTGACACCTTCGCTGTTTTTAGAAGTCCCTCTTTTTCCTGACCTTGAGGTTATAAAGCTATAGCTGCAATCCGAGATATTGAACCTTTTCATATATTTTATCCAAAATTAAAACGAATGCTAAAATATTAAAAAAAAATGATGACGTGCACAATTTTAACTTCGCCACTAAATAAAGTAGAGGTTGTTAGCAGTTTTACAGTTTCTCTCTTTTTCTGTTGTTGTTGTTATAGTTCTGTCTTAGGCGAAAATAGAAATATCGTATCATACATTAGCATGCTTGCGTTTTTCCACTTTCTTTGTTAAGACTGCAGGTGAGGCACTCGTGACGATGAACCTTCTTTTCCATGTGACCCAACTTTAATATGTCACACAAAAACTCGACAGTAACTCTAAAAAGAAAAAAAGTAAGAATAACTCTACTTTGAGTTCGTAATCGTTTTTTTTTTCTCTTTCCCCGTGATTAAAATTCCACCACTTCCAAAGCGACAAGGAAAGCTTTTAAGAAAGCTGTGACTCCACGAGTCAGCCGTTGCAGGTGCTATCTGAAACTCCTGCCCATCACGCCAAACGAGGAGGTTACAACTTGCCTACAAGTGTCGTTGCACATAAATGGCGCTCAAGTGTTTAATATATCTGGAAAGTTACAAAACGAACATGAACAAACGTGAGGCAACTGCATGCCGAGTCGGCAATGTAAAAATCACAACAACAAAATAAAGAAACCTTTGAGGAAGGAGATTCTGGATAACCTCGAACTTGCAGCTGACGTTTCGCACAAGACTTCGCTTTTGCAGTCTAAGTATATTATATAAAATAAAATGAACATGTAAAAAAAAAGAAAAATCTTGCACTGTGCAAAATGAAGCAGTAACAGCTGGATAATTATTGATAATGTCGGTGTCAAACTTGCTGTGTCTGATGCGCAGTAAGCATATACGTTTGCGAGTAAAGCGAATAAGATGTTTTGGGACACGACGTCTATTCCGAGAGGGAAAGAAGGGAAAACTGAGGACTCTCGGGGGAATTCTAGGGAATACGTTGGGGAATTCGCCAGCGAAGGATACAAGCAAAGAGGAAGATATGATAATAAAAAAATACGTTGTTGCCAGCTCTAAAGCGTTCGTCTGCTATCAATCTGTCGAGATACCTTTATATAGACGCCCCAAATGTTGATTCAAACTTATCTGAGTTAGCTGTTACCGTAAGAAGATTTGATAAGCCAGGGATTTTGCAATACTGAGACGAAAATGCTGCACAATGATGCAGAAAAGGTCCCTAACGAACAGGAAGAGCAGTGAGACAACATCCGACCGTCATTAGAAACCAAATATTCATCTGCCACTAAACCGTGTTCATGTTGAAAGGCTCGAAGTGCGTTTGATAGCTAAATTTTGAAGCTGGAACAAAAATCGCTCGCTCGAGTCCGTGGAGATGCTCATTTGAGTAGAACTTGCGACAAATTCCAGGGACACAAATGTGCATTCCAAAAAGATCCCATTACTTTGATTAAATCAGGTAATCACGCAATGACGCGTGACAATAAATTCAAAAATTTGCCTCAGTAAGAGTCGCCCTTTTTCAACGTATTTTGTGCTGGCCGTCACAAAGAATGTCAGCTTAACGAACCTTATTTCAGACGCAATCGGTATATTGCTTGTGTCAAATCAATACGCACGTTCATGAATTTACTGCAAAATCGCCGATCAACCAACTTTACACGGAATCTCTAGTGTTCGAACGTCGTCTTTTGTTCTCGATGTTAATCTCACAGACGCAGTAAGCCTAACAGCCGTGAGAGAATGCAAAAATCGCACAGAGACTCGACGAAAGAGGCCAATATTTAAAAGCGCTGTCCTCCATCGTTCAAATGAGCTATCGCAAAATCCCACACCCTCTCCATCTCCAACTTTC